CCACTTGTTATACAAACGTACAAGAACACACATCTACCATAACCACTTATTATACAAACGTACAAGAACACACATCTACCATAACCACTTGTTATACAAACGTACAAGAACACACATCTACCATAACCACTTATTATACAAACGTACAAGAACACACATCTACCATAACCACTTGTTATACAAACGTACAAGAACACACATCTACCATAACCACTAGTTATACAAACGTACAAGAACACACACAAATGATTTCCATACTTACAAAAAGCATACATCATGTTGAGAGGAAGAAAAATCATCCAATATTTTTTTTATTTCACAGGAGAAATTAAAAAACAATTCCTTTTTAAAAATCAAAGATAGATTAGATGTAAAGGAATGATCGGATAAACATAGTAACAATACAATTGTTTGTGGAAGAAACTGTCACGTCTAGAGACTCCTGACACAGCTAACTCTGTCCCATCAGACATGGGCTTTATCTGTCCCATCAGACATGGGCTAACTCTGTCCCATTACACCTAACTCTGTCCCACCAGACATGGGCTACCTGTCCCACCAGACATGGGCTAACCCCATTACACATGGGCTGACTCTGTCCCATTACACATGAGCTGACTCGGTCCTATCAGACATGTCCCATCAGACAGGGAATCCCTCAACTCATCAATGAGTCCAGCTGGCCAATCCACTCACTCGCTGCTAGAGCTGGTTCACTTTCAACTGTCTGCTCGTAAAACAAAGGAAAACAAATAACTCTGTTGAATTTGTTCAGATCTTTGCCTGCAGGTCTTCCAGTTGGGTGACCAACAGAATCAAAAAGCCCATTAATGAAGGTCACTGAAAACAAAGATTCTGACACGTTTTCTTTCTTTCTTTCATCTAAAACAACCCCAAAAGGGACGACCAATTTTCACCCACCATACAAATGATCCCACCCCTACGAAGTAAGGCCCAAACAGAGGGGTCAGAACTTTTCCCGACTCTCATGTAGACATCTAGGCGACTTGGGGAGAAAATCGACAAGCTTTATTCCACTGAAATGTGGAGGCTATCTTAACAGGAGTCATTTGTGGTCTACGTTGCTGTCAATCATTTCTTGTAGAGATTCTGGGTAGGAAACCGAAAGGGTGGTGTTTATAATAGGGCCCATATAAAAATAAAACTTTTATATCAATGGATAAAGATTTTTTACAAATATGTTTGTTTGGTAAGTGAGCTAGAGGAGTGCCATGTAAAGTTGTGTGCACATTGTCCAAGTACTCAGTGTTGGTGCCAGGGGGAGAGCACAGTGAGCAGGCTCTCGCTGACCTTGCTCTTGTCTCTCCCACTGATCTGACTAAGTCTGACCACAGCTGCCTGTCATGTGTCAGTCTATTCAAGTGGGCTGTCAAGTGTCAGTCTATTCAAGTGTCAGTCTATTCAAGTGTCAGTCTATTCAAGTGTCAGTCTATTCAAGTGTCAGTCTATTCAAGTGTCAGTCTATTCAAGTAGGCGGCCTTGAGTGCATGCAAGTCTAGGAACATTATTATGGAGTCTATCTGACAGCATTTGTAAAATATGATCTCGAATAAAAAATAAAGATCTTTGAATAAGTAAATTATTCATTTGAATTCAACAACACAGACAACATACATTATATCATGTTTAGTATATATTTTTGCATCCAACAGTAATAAAGAGAGTCATGAAAGCTAGTCAGTAAGGCACACATGCGGTAATGGCTCAACAACACTCAAGGAAACACAAACTACACCTACAAGAGAAACAAATCTTCCACTGAACACTCAGTTTTCAATATTGTCCTCTTATGTAATACTTTGTTTGATCATACTATTTCATTTCTACAAATCCAGCAAAGAGCCGCCTTACTAATTGTCAAGACAAGCAGAGCACAAGACATGAAATAAAGGAGAATAGATAAATAAACAATTAGAGCACAAGACATGAAATAAAATAAAGGAGAATAGATAAATGAACAAATGAAATAAAGGAGAATAGACAAATGAACAAATGAAATAAAGGAGAATAGACAAATGAACAAATGAAATAAAGGAGAATAGACACATGAACAAATGAAATAAAGGAGAATAGACAAATGAACAAATGAAATAAAGGAGAATAGACAAATGAACAAATGAAATAAAGGAGAATAGATAAATGAACAAATGAAATAAAGGAGAATAGATCAATGAAGATAGAGGGAAGCCCGGTCCTAGCGACAGGGTGGGGCACAGCACCAAGCTGGTACTGACTACAACAGCTGGTACTGACTTTGTCACGTGTTGCTACAACAGCTGGTACTGACTACAACTGACTACAACAGCTGGTACTGACTGTGTCACGTCTCGCTACAACAGCTGGTACTGACTGTGTCTCGTGTCGCTACAACAGCTGGTACTGACTGTGTCTCGTGTCGCTACAACAGCTGGTACTGACTGTGTCACATCTTGCTACAACAGCTGGTACTGACTGTGTCACGTCTCGCTACAACAGCTGGTACTGACTGTGTCTCGTGTTGCTACAACAGCTGGTACTGACTGTGTCACATCTCGCTACAACAGCTGGTACTGACTGTGACACGTCTCGCTACAACAGCTGGTACTGACTGTGTCACATGTCGCTACAACAGCTGGTACTGCCTGTCACTGGTGTATATTTACTGACAGAATTATCCAAGATGGCCAGCCATGGTCCAGGAGAAAAGTGTCCGTCTCACACAGTGTCACGATCATGGTAAAAAACCAAACAAAAACAAGGCAAGGGGAGACATGGCAAGCAGCCATTTGTACAGGTGATTGTCAATGACAGGAGGCGGTGAGAGCAGGTCTCACTGCAGTGGCCACTACTTCACTACACAGTACACACTTCACATATTGTCCCAGTGGGGCAGCACACGTTGGTAAAGAAATGACGGGCACCCCATCCTTGATAAAATTGCACAGTAACAAATGTTGGCCTGGGTAGAAAGTTAAAAAAGTGTTCTCCATAAGAAACAATGTATTATTTCCACAATGCTTTCTGGATGAGAGTTTGTCAAAAGATCTTGTCCTTATCTAGTCCTTGACTTTCATTTTCGACAAGGAAAATGCACCAGCATTGGACCTCCCATCTTTCTCCTGTACAATCAAGTCCCTTTAGCAATACAGTGAGACAGTGGCAATGAGCAACTTGAATGCAAAGCTATCTACAAACAGTAAAGCCAGACTAAAAATGTTTTTAAAAATTAAACATTCAAAATAAAACAACATGCCGTATCATTTAGAAAAACAAACAAACCAAAGACAATATATGCCCCCCTGTCCCTATCAAAAGCAGAAATAAACGCAAACATCCTCCCAGTTCAGCAGCACAAGTTGTGTGCCCGAACAGATAGCTTACAAGTTGACAATAGATTACTGACGACTGTCTTTGTGTCTACTGATGTCCCAGAACAGACCACTTACAATAGATTACTGACGACTGTCTTTGTGTCTATGTCCCAGAACAGACCACTTACAATAGATTACTGACGACTGTCTTTGTGTCTACTGATGTCCCAGAACAGACCACTTACAATAGATTACTGAGGACTGTCTTTGTGTCTATGTCCCAGAACAGACCACTTACAATAGATTACTGACGACTGTCTTTGTGTCTACTGATGTCCCAGAACAGACCACTTACAATAGATTACTGACGACTGTCTTTGTGTCTACTGATGTCCCAGAACAGACCACTTACAATAGATTACTGACGACTGTCTTTGTGTCTACTGATGTCCCAGAACAGACCACTTACAATAGATTACTGAGGACTGTCTTTGTGTCTATGTCCCAGAACAGACCACTTACAATAGATTACTGAGGACTGTCTTTGTGTCTACTGATGTCCCAGAACAGACCACTTACAATAGATTACCGAGGACTGTCTTTGTGTCTATGTCCCAGAACAGACCACTTACAATAGATTACTGAGGACTGTCTTTGTGTCTATGTCCCAGAACAGACCACTTACAATAGATTACTGAGGACTGTCTTTGTGTCTACTGATGAAAAATCCGTCCCAGAACATTCTACTGGTAAAACAGATTAATGAGGAGTCCTGCCTCATCTACGGGAGCCTTCTGATGAAGGACTCCCAAAAGTTCAGAACACAAAAATGTAGAGCCTCTCTCTCCACACGATTGTATAGACTAGAGGACAGAGGAGCTGCAAGTGTCGCTGACCTGGGAGTAGTGGGAGGGTTACCAACCAGCACAAAGACACAGACGCTCCATGACAAAGCCCCCACAAGGGCAAAACCAAGAACTTCATCAATACACAACAACAACGACAACAACAACAAAACAGTACAGCAGTTGTCACCTTATTAAAACACTGGTGGTAGGAAGAATGACAATGATGGTGGTCAAAGAAAGGCATTTGTGCAGATAGATCATAGATACAATTACTTACATCTGAAAGGTTCACTGGGGGGGAAAAAACAACTCTTTTGAACTCAGTCTGGCTGGTAAGTCTGCCTTCTAACTGCACACGAGACAGGGACAGCCATGATGTAATATTTTAGAAGGAGTCACTCAAGAAGACAGGCTAACCATCCAACAGGTTACATTATTTCTTGAAAAGGGGGAAAATTAGGAGCACATCCAGGAAACTTGGTATAAGTCACACCTGTCCACAGCACAGGCCACAGGTTACAGCATGAGGACCAACTTGTCCACACACATACAAACACATGCACACACGCACACACATGCACGCACACACATGCACGCACACACACACACACACAAAGGCCACGGTGTGAGAAACATGTCTAGTGTGTGGGTGCCGTGTCATGTGCTGTTTGAGCTCATCTGTCTCCACAAAAAAACACACACACACACTCACTCACACACACTCACTCACACGCACACACACACACAAAGGCCGCGGTGTGAGAAACATGTCTAGTGTGTGGGTGCCGTGTGCTGTTTGAGCTCATCTGTCTCCACAAAAACACACACACACACACACACACACACTCACTCACACACACACACATGCACGCACGCACGCACACACACACACACAAAGGCTACACTCCAAGGCCAACAAGTCAAGCATCAAGATGTCCCACTACCATTCTCCAGGCTGCTCACATTCTCCCACATTCTATGCCTCAAGTCACACTAAGGCCATTATGGAATGTAAACTTTTCACAATTCCCCTCTTCATACTGCATTGTTGGGTAGTAAAACTTTTTTAAAATTCTGTACCATTATTCTCAATGTAGACATCCATTTTTTCAGGAAAAAAGTGTCTTATAAAACAACAGACCGTGTTTTCTCCATCATCTCCAAAGTGCCAGAAATGGGTGATACCCTGTAGTCAGCCCATGACTATGTAGGTCAACAACCTGCAGTCAGCCCATGACTATGACTATGTAGGTCAACAACCTGTAGTCAGCCCATGACTATGACTATGTAGGTCAACAACCTGTAGTCAGCCCATGACTATGTAGGTCAACAACCTGTAGTCAGCCCATGACTATGACTATGTAGGTCAACAACCTGTAGTCAGCCCATGACTATGACTATGTAGGTCAACAACCTGTAGTCAGCCCATGACTATGACTATGTGGGTCAACAACCTGAAGTCAGCCCATGACTATGTAGGTCAACAACCTGTAGTTAGTGTTGTGTTGTGTGGTGTAGTGTGGTTTTGTGTTGTGTTGTGTGTTGCGTGGTGTGCAGTGCTGTTTGTTGTGGTGTGTTGTGTTGTGTTGTGTTTTGTGTTGTGTTGTGTTGTGTTGCGTTGTGTTTGTTGTGTAGTGTGGTGTGCGGAGTTGTGTTGTGTTGTGTGGTGTGGTGTGGAGTGGTGTTGTGTATGTTGTGTTGTGTTGTGTGGTGTTGTGTGGTGTGGTGTGGTGTGGTGTTGTGTGGTGTGGTGTGGTGTTGTGTGTGTTGTGTATGTTGTGTTGTGTGGTGTGGTGTGGTGTGGTGTGGTGTTGTGTGGTGTGGTGTGGTGTTGTGTGTGTTGTGTTGTGTTGTGTGGTGTTGTGTGTGTTGTGTTGTGTGGTGTTGTGTGTGTTGTGTTGTGTTGTGTGGTGTTGTGTGTGTTGTGTTGTGTTGTGTGTGCATGTGTTGTGTGGTGTGATGAGGTGTGATGTGGTGTTGTGTGGTGTTATGTGTGGTGTGGTGTTGTGTGGTGTGTTGTGTTGAGTTACGTGTGTTGTGTTGTGTTGTGTGTGTGTGTGTGGTGTGGTGTGGTGTGTGTTGTGTTGTGTGGTGTGGTGTTGTGTCGTGTTGTGTGGTGTGGTGTGTCATGTTGTGTGGTGCGGTGTGTCATGTTGTGTGGTGTGGTGTGTTGTGGTGTTGTGTGGTGTTATGTGTGATGTGGTGTTGTGTAGTGTGTTGTGTTGTGTTGTGTGTTGTGTTGTGTTGTGTTGTGTTGTGTTGTGTTGTGTTGTGTTGTGTGGTGTGGTGTTGTGTTGAGTTGTGTGTGTTGTGCAGTGTTGTGTGCTCTTCAATCAGTTCATCAAAAAGCTGGTCAACAGGGCGAGCACACCTCACATTTTCATGGACTAAATCCCTGGGCCATCACCATTTCTCATCAAACAAGTAAAAGATGAATGAGCTGTCAAATCATCTACAGTGGCCAAATCAAAGTGCCAGAAGTGTATAGAACTTTATCAAAGGAATGCACACAACAAGGAGACAAGCATCCACACAGACCGCCTCCTGCCTTTACAGATCAGCAAAAGGCAACACCCGTGTATCTTTTCCTGTCTCTACACAAGACAACTCCTCAGTCTGGTCAACTGAGTCCAAGGACACATTCTGTTTAGAAGATCCCAGGATGAGAAATGTTTTCCCCTCAGAGCTGTTCCTACTTGTGACAATCAGAGAGGAAGACTGTTTGCCCACAGACAGCATGGCTACACCGGGGGCCTGGACACTGCTGGATACTGGCACACGCCCACAGCTATCCGGAACAATGGACACCGGCACACGCCCACAGCTATCCGGAACAATGGACACCGGCACACGCCCACAGCTATCCGGAACAATGGACACCGGCACACGCCC